AAATCTCAGTAAGACAAGGGGTCCTCAAGGATCTTCCACCCCAAGCTCACTTACATGTGCAATATAAGTTCTAAAAGCATTTATATCAATATAAGTTCCAAAACTATACAGTGCAACAGATATCTATGACATGTGTGTATAACTATTCTACTGGCCAAAGAAATGCAGGACGTACGTCTACAACCCCATAATAAGTACAAGGAACAACGCTTGCATCTCACCCACAGCCTCACCATCTTGTATGCGCCACATACTCAGGCTTACCGTATAGGTGGAACACAACATGCATATCATAAAGGCACTCACATATAACAGCTCAATAGCATTTATCAAAATAATACATGAAAACAACATCATGCATATAACCATCCCCCCATGGGACATGGTGGAACCAAACAATGGCTAAACCGAGGACACGAAAGCTTATCTTGCAAGCTAGCTATCCAAGCCAAGAGTCCACAATCTCAAAGCCCAAACACAGCAGTATCACAATCTGTTATGGACCAATAATACATCATTAATCAAACTCTACAAGCATACACTTAAAGACAACGTCTTTCCTTTACGTTTTATGTCTTAAGGCTTCTAACAAAGCCACAAGCCCTTAATCACATGATTCTGACTTAGTTCATTAATTACAGAAGTTCAACTTCATCAATCCAGGGTTCACAAACCCCCAACAGCCTACTGCACACACAGCACAACTACTGTTCTACAAAATCCCAGAATATCCGGTTATTCCTCGGGGATATATCCGGATATCCAATATCCGGATATCTCTCTGGCAATATCCGGATATCAATATCCGGATATTTCACGGGCAAATATCCGGATATTTCGCGACAGAATGCAGTTTCTGCATTTCGCGAAGATATCCTTCAAAGGTTCCATTTTTACCGATTACAGAAGCCTAAACATGCATTTCTAGGTGTGTTTGACATTACCCCAAGTTAGGTTATCATCTTTTAACCATTACATGCATCAAAGTTCCATTTTTAGGAATAAAAACTCATGATCAAGTTGAGGTACATACACAAGGCTTCAAAGCAGAAACAAGAGCTGCTCTTGGAGCTCACAACCAGCTCCAACAAACTGGCTACACAAGACCAACGAAAATGCCACAAAGCTTGGCCCTTTCTTCACAATGGAAGCTCCTTGAAGCTTCACAAACCAAGAAGATGACTCCACAACCTCCAACTCAACAAGACAACACCTCATGCTCACTAAGACAGCAACACAACTCATTACATAAGCTCCTCTCCCACTCACCAGTGACCATCACACCCAACCATAGTGCTAAGGATGAAGAAAAGAGAAGGATTAAAGCCAAAGGAGCCAACTTGCTCAAGAAATGGAGAAGAAAACCCAAAGAAGCAGCCAAACTGATCAGCCTCTCAACAACTCACACATAGAAGTCTGTTTTCTAGGGTTGTGTGCCCTTAATAAGAGTATTTAAAGGCCACTTAAGCATTAAACACGCAGTATTAACTTTAATTGCTACGCTTAGCATTTGAATCCCAAACTTTGGATTCTTAACCTACTCAATTTACAAGAATTATCATATTTTTATTATATTTTTCAGAGCACCTTACCAGTACGCGCTTTTCATAGTCAGTATCAGTTTCTGGCACCAGTTCTCATTATTTTAACTTGAAACTCGTTTTACAAGTCCTATATATTATTTTAGGAATTATCATGCACTTATTATAATTTTCCGGGATACTTTTTCGGTACGCATTTATAGCGACTAGCAGAACCAGTATCTGCACTTTTCTTCCGAAAAGCGACTTTCAGCATTCTTAATCACTTATCATAATTATTAAAGCCTCTTAATAATTGTTAGGGTCAATTATGGAATCATTTCCTATTTTCTCATAATTAATTACTTAAATTCCTTAATTAACGGTGCGGGTTCTTACACAAATCAAACTAATTCATGCTTTAAAATCTTATAAACCAAGGGTTTATCACAATTCCCAGATGTGAACATTGTTGTCCTCAGTAATGAATTAAAAGCAGAGAAGAACTTGAGATTCTTTACAGATGAAATTCATAAAGATGGACTTCAATTACAGAAGATCAACATTTCATGATACAAGCTTATAACCATGCAATCTCTTATTTCCTATGATTTGCCCAACATCATTTGTGACTTTTCAACAGATCAGTAGAGATGGTATACAAAGACTTCCAAATAAAACACCCCCTCACTAGGAACTTCTCAAAAATTGTGAGAATTTAACTCTCTTGCACTCTAGTGTTTAAGGGTGCACTTATCATTCAATCTTCACTGTACTCAAACTACCATAGGCTTGCCCATCTTCTCTCTTTCTACAGTAACAATGATCTGTAGAGCAGATCAAAAAGGTTTTTGTATAGTTGGCAATATGGCTTGGTATGTGGCTTGACTAGAGATAGAAGTTATGTTAAAGGAAGGGTTCAGATTAAATGAATCAGATTCAGCTAAGAGAAGGATCACAGTATTTATCATATTCTTCTTAATTCCCCCAAACTTTCTTCCTTTCCATTCCTTGTACCTTCTTTGAACCTTTCTTCCTCCTTTTCTTCCAGACACTTTGTGTCTTTAATACCCTTTTTTTTTCTTTTTCTTCCCTCTGTCTTATTTTTTTTCAAACACTTTGTGTCTTTAATTCCCTTTTTTCCTTTTTCTTCCTTCTTTTCTATATCTCCAACACTTTGTAACACTTTGTGCATTCATTTATTGCAGGAACACTTTTCTCCCAACAGAACTTTTCATCCATTCTCACTTATCTGAAAATTTTAATCTGAAGGATTGGAATGAATGTAGGCTCTTGGTTTTATAGACAAACAAGCTTAAACTCAAGGGTTTCATGCAATGGAAACATTAAGGTTGGTCATTTAAACTTTCTGGTTCAAGAAGGAAGTGCCTCAATCATTTCTACACTACACATCATAAACCATTTCAAGCAAGAAACATGGCAAGTTCTAGAGTTATTCATGCAGTGAAGTGCTCTTTGAACAAAATTTTCTGTGTAGGCTTAATTTCTCACAGTTCAGAGTGCATGCTTGACTTTCTCTATATGTATCACAACTAATCTCTCTACTCTTACACATTGAATGAGTCATGCAATCATTTCATTTTTGCTCAACATGCAAGGTATAAGATTGTATCCTTAATTTGATCAATCATCTAAAACTTTGATCAGTCAAATCCTCATGGAATTCCATATCACAACTGAAATCCAAATTCAATATCACAACTAAAATCCAAATCACACAAGAAAACTTAGAAAAGAAAAAAAATATTGAGATGTTTCCCTGTTTTGGCTCATCAATTTGTGTGACATCTCCATGAAGTGTGCATACCATTCAATCACACCCAATTCCCAGATTTAAAAGTTGTTGTCCCCTGCAACTAACTTAAATCTAAAACAACAATCGATCCCTGAAACACATTCATATATAAACCAATAGCATCAGTTTTATCGCAATGTGCATCATGCAAAAACAGTGAATATTCCAATGTGCTTAACTGAATTACAAAAGTAAACTAACAACAAATTAAAACTAAAAGAAACTAAAAGTGAAATAACAGAAACTAAAATGGAGTGAAATCAAGAGTCAATGTGAGACTCTGAGTCCTTCTCATCTGAGGTGAGAGGGTCTGATCTTGGATCTGCGGTAGGAAGCGGTGTATGATCATCATCAGCAGTCTGATCCTCCTCCACACCAAAGCTAACTTCAACAGGCTGATCTCCACCAGTCTGATCAGCAGCAGGCAGGGATTTGTCCCCAGTACCCATGGCAGCCATGGCATCCATCATAGCCTCATCCTCATCAGCGCGCTCTTCAAAGAATGTTGTAGCGGCTGCCTCAAATGCGTCCTCCTCCTCTGAATAAGGATACTCCTCATCCTGAAATGATGCCAGCTCTACTCCCTGGGCCTCACAAAGAGCTGTCAGCATCTGAAACATCTGAGTCTGAAATGATTTTTGACTCGTCTGCATGAACTTGAGACGGAGGCGTAAAAATCCCAGACGAACCTCAATGTTGACCAGCCACTGCTCTGCTGATCGCTTCTGCCGTACGGACTCGAACTTGGCCTCTGTCATGTTCTTTCTTCCCGGTGTCAGGCCAGAGGCTGCTCCTCCTCCAATCCGGAGCTGTGTGGTGGTCATCTTTGCATTCATTTCAGGGTGCAACTTAACTTGTGCCCCATTATCAGCAATGTCAACTCCAGCTCGCTTACAGAGATGCTGGATCAAAGAACTGTGACCCAGTGCCGCAGTACTACTATCAGAATGTGCCATGTCATAAATGCTATTTTGAGGAATAACGGGAAGTTCCACTTTCTTCCCAGTCATGATAGTGTAAATCAAAACAGCTCGCAACAGAATAACTTCAGCCTGGTTGGAGGTAGGCAATACATTGGAAACCACAAAGTGAAACCATACCCTAGCCTTTCCATTCAACTGCCTTAACCACAACAATTTGGGATTCACCTCATCTTTCGTCATCTGCCATTTTTCATTAGGTTTGGCTATAGTTTGCAACACAGGCTCAACCGCTCCCAATTTAGTCCAAGTTTCAAATTCAGGGTTGCTTTTTTTGGGAGGAATGTCAATCTTTTCCCAAGTTCTGTGAAACTGACAATTTTGGTTCTGTATGTAATCACAGTGAGTTATCTTCAAGAGTTTCTGAATGGTATGAGCATCATACTTCACCTTTTTCCCCCGTACTAGACTGACAAAATGTCGCTTGCCACCTTCATCTCCATTGTAAGCATTTGCATAAAATTTCCGACAAATAGCTTGACTGCTATTGTCCAACATCATGAATTTTCTTTGTCCAACTTGACTAACTCAGACTAAAATTCAGGGTATTCATCTTTGTCCAAGATGAATTTTCTTTCCCGGACAAATGGCCGAGAAGATGTTTTATCATTAAATCTGGCTTCATGAGCATCACTCCTCTATAGTTTGTCATCAAAAGAAGGTGGAGTTGTAGGCCCTTTGCTCTTAATCATTCAGGCCCTCTTTTTGTTGTTCTTCTTGGGTGGTGAAGACATGGTCCTAACAACATGAAAGAAGAATTCAGTCAATAAGTCAGAGCAATTGAGAGATAATGGAGCACATTCCCAAATTTAAATTTGAAAGAATTGGTTGAGAAGAATCCAAAATGTAAAGGAAAAATAACCCCCACAATGCTAGACTAGCAGCCTAAAACCATTCGTGTATTAGGGCCAGGGAGCTAAAACGTTCACAGCGAGCGTTTTAGCGGCCTAGCAATTTCGTGTGACAAAACAGTTGAGCGCTAAAACGTTGAGTGTCCAGCGCTTTAGCGCCTTGGCTTTTCTGGGTCAGGAATTTTAACAAACACCTTGTGTGTGTGTGTGTGTGTGTGTGTGTGCAAGTTTAAAATGGGACTCGATGATCGGTGATGCCTTTCATCCCAAAAACAAAACCAAAACCAGAGTTGCATACAAACCAATTATATGTTATCAAAATTTAAAACATGAGATCATGGGGTAAGCACACATGGAATCAAAAACTTTTAAAACCCTAGATGATATGAAAATGATACAAACAAATGAAGAACATACTTCGAAATGAGAAAGGATAAGGGTAGCATACCTTGTTGGCAATATGTAGGATGAATGCAGAAGAGATTGAGAAGAATTTGCTAGTGTGGAAGTTGAAGAATAAGTGAATGTGAGGATGAGTGAGTGAGTGAATGAATAACCGTGTAATTCAAATAAGTGACGCGGCGCTAAAACGTTCAAACCAAACGTTTTAGCACTGAGGTCCAGAAAAATGTGCACATGGTTGTGTGCATCAGCGCGCTAAAACGTTCAAACAACACGTTTTAGCGCGCTTAACCAGAATATTTGCACGGTGATGCACTTGGGGAACGCTAAAACAGTCAAATAGAATATTTTAGCGCTCTGGGCCAGAGTTTTGCATTGTGATGCATCTCTGAACCGCTAAAACGTCTAACAAGGAACGTTTTAGCGCCCATCACTTGTCAAATTTTTCAAAATTCTCCAATTTTTTTTATACATTATTATTATTAACATTATTATATATTACATACCTGATATAGTGGGTTGCCTCCTACTCAGCGCGTGTTTAACGTCACGAGCCTGACGTTTCTCACTTAACTTACCTCTATCAAGGCAACTGTAAGAAGTTGTCTGTCTACAGCACTACCAATGTATAACTTCAGCCTCTGACCATTGACAGTAAAGCTTCGGTCAGAATCCAAGGGACTAATTTCCACCGCTCCATAAGACTTAATATCCTTCACCACAAATGGTCCAGACCATCTGGACTTTAACTTTCCTGAAAATAGCTTCAACCTGGAATTGAAAAGCAGAACTTGGTTGCCCACCTTGAAATCCCTGGGTGTGATCTTCCTGTCATGCCATAACTTGGTCTTTTCTTTGTATAAGCTTGCACTTTCATATGCAGAAAGACGGAATTCATCCAGTTCATCCAATTGAAGTAGCCTTTTCTCACCTGCTGCCTTGGAATCAAAGTTTAAGAACTTGACAACCCACAATGCTCTGTGTTCCAACCCCATCGGTAGATGACATGCCTTCCCAAATAACAATTAAAAAGGAGACATTCCAATAAGAGTCTTGAATGCTGTACGGTAAGCCCATAAAGTGTCATCAAGTTTCTTGGACCATTGAGTCCTAACATTTCCAACAATGTTTTCCAGTATACGTTTAAGTTCTCTGTTAGAAATCTCAACCTGACCACAAATCTGTGGACGGTACGGGGTACATATCTTATGCCTGAGTCCATATTTTGCAAGAGGAACTTCTACCAACCGGTTGTCAAAATGTGTTCCCCATCACTGGTTAAGGCTCTCGGGACTCCGAATCTCACAAAGATATTCTTTTTTCAGAAAAGTGATCACAACCCGAGAGTCATTAGTTTGTGTAGCTATGTCTTTAACCCATTTTGATACATAATCCACTGCCACCAGGATATACTTATTGGAGTAAGAAGAGGGAAAGGGTCCCATGAAATCCATACCCCAAACATCAAAGATTTCCACCTCCAGTATATTGTTCAATGGCATTTCATGTCTCCTGGATATATTACCAGTTCTTTGGCAGTTGTCACATGCTTCCACATACTTCTTTGCATCCTTGTACAATGTTGGCCAATAGAAACCACTCATCAAAACTTTTGCTGCAGTTCTTTCACCTACAAAGTGTCCACCATAGGCTGAACCATGAGAGTGCCATAAGACATCTTGTTGTTCCTCCTCTGGAATACATCTTCTAATTACCCCATCTGAACACCTATAGAAAAGGTATGGTTTATCCTAAATATATCTCCTTGCATCATGCAGAAATTTTTTCCTCTGTTGCCATGTGAAATCTTTAGGCATTGCTCCAGCAGCTTTGTACTTTGCAAAATCTGCAAACCATGGTGGAGTATTAATTGTCAAGACTTGATCCTGCACCAACTTGGAAACAATACTTATGGCCAGTATTTGCCCATCGGGAAACTCTTCTTTGATCACTACTTCCGGTCGTTCTTGAAGATTTTTCTCTGTGATCCGGGATAAGTGATCAGCCACTAAGTTTTCAACTCCCTTTTTATCTTTAATTTTCACTTCAAACTCTTGTAGAAGTTACATCCATCGGAGTAACCTGGGCTTAGCATCCTGCTTAGTTAACAAATACTTTAAAGCTGCATGGTCAGTGTAAACAATCACCTTTGATCCTAGCAGATATGACCTAAATTTGTCAAATGCATACACAATAGCCAATAATTCCTTTTCAGTAGTAGCATAATTCTTCTGTGCATCATTAAGAATTTTACTGGCATAGTAAATGACATGCAATAATTTGGCTTTTCTTTGGCCTAGTACCACTCCCACAGCATAATCACTTGCATCACACATCAGCTCAAAAGGTAGTGAAAAATCAAGTGCCATGATTATTGGTGTGGTGATCAATTTTTCTATCAAAATGTTAAATGCATGCAGGCATTCATCAGTAAACACAGACTCTTGTTCCTTTACCAACAATTTGCATAAAGGTTTTGCAATCTTTGAAAAATCTTTTATGAAGCGTCTATAAAAACCTGAGTGACCAAGGAAACTTCTCACACCTTTGACCAAGGAAACTCCTAAAACAATACCCTCTGTCACCATGAAGTGACACTTTTCCCAATTCAACACAATATTACAATCTTGACATATTTTTAAAACAATATCCAAATTTTCTAGACAAGCATCAAAAGTAGGATCGAATACAGAAAAATCATCCATAAAAATTTCAATGGATTTTTCTACCATGTCAGAGAATATGGAAAGCATGCACCTTTGAAAAGTCGCTGGTGCATTGAAAAAGCTGAAAGGCATCCTCCGGTATGCAAAGATTCCATAGGGGTAAGTGAATGCAGTTTTCTCCTGATCTTCTAGAGCCACAGCTATCTGGTTGTAGCCTGAGTATCCATCTAGAAAGCAGCAGAAAGCATGTCCTACCAATCTCTCTAGCATTTGATCTAGGAATGGAATAGGGAAACGGTCCTTCTGGGTTGCTTTGTTGAGTCTCCGGTAATTTATGCACATTCTCCAACCAGTGACTGTTCTTGTGGGAATTAATTCATTATTCTCATTCCTCACAACAGTCATTCCTCCTTTCTTGGGCACTGTCTGTGATAACTTATATTTTGTTACACTTATTTATTACTCTTGGTTGGTATTTTTATGATTTATTTTAATTAAATAAAGGTATTTTGGGTCAATTCACAATTCTAGATTTTAGTTGGGTTTAATTGATTTTCGTCATAATTTTCCAGATTTACACTACTTCTGTATTTTGCCCATATCTCACTCTACAGATGTCCGATTGACTCCGTTCTTGTTGTTGTATGCAGCTAACAGATAGGGCTACAATCGCTATTTCAGCTACTGAAAGCCCAATTCAAACGGGAAGATGGTCGAAACTTGATCTCAAGATGACGTGTTTTGCTGGAATTTTATTTTGACGTTTGAACTTGTAATTCACATTAGGACCCAATGTGTTTAGGGCCCAAGGCAATGTTTTATTGTTTTATTTTATTTTATTTTATTCAGCTTTCATTTTATGTTTTGGCTGAAGCGGTAAAACCCTAGCCGTTCTGCGTGACAGCTATTTAAGGGAGACTTTAGGAAACCCTTCGGCAATCAGTTTTTACAACAAAAAAAGTTCTCTCTGAGTTTTTATTCAATTTTGTTATTCATCTTTTTCTTCCTCTTCTTTTTATTTTAATCATGTTTAGCTTAGCCATGCGAGGCTAAGAACCTTTTAATCAACCTAAGGGTAACAGATTCCATGGATTAGTCTTGAGGGTCTGCGCTTTATTTTAAATTAGTTTTGTTTCCCTTCCCAACTCAGATTGATATCGTTCGATCGTGGATATTCAATCTGAGGTTCGCGATTGCGATTATGGAAAGGGATTAATCATCAAATTTGATGGTTAGATTGATTGACCCTATGACCTTAAATCAAACGGGCTGATACTCTGCGATTGTATGAGTAGAAGCATCGTCTTTGATCAAATGCTAAGCGATCGCTTAGAGAGGGTTGTCAATTGGAAATAAGGATTCTGATTCGATTGAGAAATCAATCACGATTCTGATATCCTCTTATCCGAGGAAAGACGTCCATGGAACCCAAACCTTAGGTTGGTTAATTTTTAATTACAAATTTTACATCCAATTTTATATTCTGCCTTTTTAAATTATTCAACCAAAATTCAAAAACCCCCCTTTTAATTTCTGTTTTGATAAACGATTTTTACCCAAGCAATTTCCTTGAGACAGACGATTTAGGGTTTCCACTCTACTACAAATTTTCTGAACCCTAATAAAAAAATAATTTTTAATTTGCGCGAGTTCGACAGCTCGTGTCAAATTTGGCGCCATTGCTGGGGAAATTGCATCGGTCTAAATCGATTTTCTGAACGTGATCATTTTCTTCTTCTTCTCTAGTTTTTGTTTCTGTTTTTGAAAGAAAGAAAAATCGTAAATTTCTGTTTGCGCACCTGTTTTGTTTTTGCGTTTTGCACTCGATTGCGTTTCTTATTTCGATTTCTGCACAGTTGATTCTGCATCGGAATTTGATTTCGGAGAGGCATCTTTTCTCAGTTTTTGAATTTTTTGCATTACTGTTTACGCTTTGGGCAGTTTTGGGCGAATTTGGGGAAATCAGTAAAACTTCAGTTTGAGATATTTGCTCCGAGAGTTCTTTTTCCAAAGGAATTCGACCTTCTGAGCATAAGTCACACCCTTGAAGGGTGTGAGGTGACCCTTAATTTTACCAAATTCTGTCGTTTACTAACTCGTTTTAGTGTTTCTTTGTCGTTTCAGGACGTATCGAGTATTTCTGCTATTGTTTTTTGTGCTCTGATTGACCTGAAAATTGGTGACGTGAAGGAGGAGGCTGTACCGGTCAAAAGTCATCAGGGCGTAGTCCTTCATGATGGAAGCCCTATTTTAGCCGAATTCAATTGTTTAGTATTTTATTTTATTTTTCGAAAAAAAATTATTTGATTTTTGAGTCCGTAAGGTCATTTAGAGTTTAGGAGAGTTGGTCCCATAGTATTCTGAGTTCATTTAGTATTTTTCGTATATTTATTTTTGTTTCTGTTTGCTATTTTCGGTAGTTTTGTTTGTTCTGTCGTATGTTTTGCGACTTTACTGCTGTATGCTTTGCCTATGATGCATGACTAGGAGTAATACCAGTGTTGATGATTTATATGCATATGACCCTGAGATAGAGAGATCATTGCATGCTGCTAGTAGAGCTCGTAGGTTGACTTACAGTAGAGCTGTTCCTGAGCATACCTTAGAGTCTGAGTCTGTTGAGTCTGTCGAGTCTGTTTGTTCGAGTCCTTTACATAGTGTTTATTCGTTTGGTCGTTTATTTGATTCTGAAATCATGGGTGATAGAACATTTAAGCAATTGGCTGCTCCTAATGTTGATAATGAGCAGCCCCTGTGTATTCGTTATACTAATCCTGTTATACCTTTTGAGCTTAAGTCTGGACTGAAACACTTGTTGCCCAAGTTTCATGGTCTTGCAGGTGAGGATCCCCACAAACATCTGAAGGAATTTTATATAGTCTGCAGCACTATGAAGCCAACAGGGGTGGATGAGGACAAATTAAGCTGCGTGCTTTCCCTTTCTCTTTGGACAGTGGAGCTAAGGACTGGCTGTACTACTTGCCACCTTCCTCCATTGTAAGCTGGAATGACATGGCCAGATTTTTTCTGGAGAAATTCTTCCCTTCATCCAGGGCCACCTCAATCAGAAAGGAGATCAGTGGCATAAGGCAAGCTAATGGGGAGAACATGCATGAGTATTGCGAGCGGTTTAAAAGGCTTTGTTCAAGCTGCCCACACCATCAGATTCCAGACAATCTCCTGCTTGTTTACTTCTATGAAGGGTTGCTGCCTATGGATAGGAACCTTCTAGATGCAGCTAGTGGAGGAGTCCAGAGCAATAAAACACCTAATGAGGCCAATGAGCTGATTGCTGAGAGAGCTGCTAATGGTCAACAATTTGGTACTAGAGCAAACAACAGTGCAGTATTCCAAGTGCAAACTCCTCCAATGCAAAATCCAACAGTAGCAGCAACAGGAGCATCAAGCACAGATAACCAGATAATGGAGAACAGACTTGATGAGCTGACATCAATGGTGAGGCAGTTGGCAGTGACACAGACTGTGCAACCTTCTGCTCAATAGATAAGCAACTTGTGTGGCATCTACTGTGATCCTTCTCACCCCACGGATGCATGTCCTTCCTTTCATCAAGACAGCGATTTCCAAGATGATCAGTCTGTTGCTGCAGTTTTTCCTGGAAAGCCACAGTACCACCAGCAGCAGCAGCAGCAAAATAATCCCTACTCCAATACATATAATCCTGGCTGGAAAAATCATCCAAATCTCAAATGGAGCCAGAATCAGCAAAGTGCAGCATTTCAGCAGAGGCAGCAGTTTCTGCCTCCACAACAGAGGCAAAACTTTCAACAATTTGCCCCTCAGCAGCCAATGCAGCAGCAGCAGCCAATGCAGCAGCAGCCACTAGTGCAGCAACAAGCTAGTAGCAATGGCCCTTCTTTGGAGGATTTAGTGAAGCAGATGGCAACTAACAATCTGCAGTTCCAACAGAGGACTGAGTCTTCCATTCAGAATCTGCAAACACAGATTGGCCAACTTACAACGTCAATGAATCAAAATCAACAAGCAAGTGGCAGCTCCCTTCCATCCCAAACAGTTCCAAATCCAAAAGGAAGCGAAAATGTGAGTGCTATTACTTTGCGGTCTGGAAAGCAAATGGAGGAGCCAAACCACACTGCTGCTGAGTCATCCAATGGAGGTGACACTAGCTCCAAGTAGCAGAGCATTGATAAATCTGATGTCCATATCCCTCTGCCATTTCCTCAGAGAGCCACTCAGTCAAAGAAGCAGTCAGCAAAGGTTCAAGATAAAGAGATACTTGACACCTTCCAGAAAGTTGAGGTGAACATCCCTCTTTTGGATGCAATACAGCAGATTCCGCAATATGCCAAGTTTCTAAAGGAGCTGTGCACCAACAAGAGGAGACTGAAGGGAGATGAGCAGGTTAACCTGAGTCAGAATGTATCGACACTCATCCAGCCCATGCCTAAAAAGTGTCAAGATCCAGGGACATTTACTATCCCTTGCGTGATTGGCAATTCTGTTTTCATGATTGCATGCTAGACTTAGGAGCTTCCATTAATGTTATTCCTACATCTGTGTTTAAGTCTCTTGGTCTTGGTCCTTTGTGTGCCACTGGTATTGTGGTTACGTTAGCTAATAGGAGTAGTATCCACCCATCTGGTTTGATTGAGGATGTATTAGTCAGAGTTAATAATCTGATTTTTCCTACTGATTTCTACATTTTAGAAATGGAGAGTGAGACTACTATTAATAGATCCCCAATCATACTTGCTAGGCCTTTCATGAGGACAGCTAGGATCAAGATAAATGTTCATTCTGGTACCCTTTCCATGGAGTTTGGTGATAGCATTGTGCATTTTAATATATTTGATGCCATGAAACATCCTAGGGAAGAACATTTTGTCTTCTGCATTGATGTGATAGATGACGTTGTTGAGGATGTTTATGCTAAATTCCTT